GACAAGACCTTCAAACTCTCATTGGAGACCATTTCCCTTCTTTGGAGTTTGGAGAATCAAAAGAACTTGCTGGGGGCCAGGCGGTGGTGCAGTCACAAAACATGACATTCTTCAAGACTGATGACCAGGGGGAGGTTCCAGATTTGAATCTTGGAGACCTCCCTGAGTATACCGGACTCCTACATGCACATGATTCAAGGCTTGCTGAGACTGGCGTTGGGCTTTGGCATCAGGACCCTGATGGGGCACAGTATTTTTGTCTCTGCACTGCTCATGGAGGAAATAACTACACTAATTAAACAAAAGTTGTAGGCTACTTGGTTTTCATGGTGGGTGGACACTGGTCTCTAAGTTCTGTAGCAAATGTCTGAGACTTTTCGTCCTGAGGACTGAAGGATGGAGCATCCCACTTTCCCAGAAGCACTCCATGGGGTGCTCCTGAGGAAGCTCCCTATGTTTTTTTTTAAACCATAATCAACAAATTCATGAATTGATTTCTATTGCTGATTCAGGAAGAGCAGATGAGTAATTAAAGCAGGGAGGTAGTTATTTCATTAAAGCGATCCAGTCCTCACCTTTTGCCAAAATGTATTCTGGAACCTAGACCACCGAATGTATAGTGGACAATACTTTCCCACTCAACCAGTGTTGTATTTGGAAATTGGTGCCTAAACAAGACCATGATGATCAGAGATGATCTTTCACTGCCATCACATTCAAGATACAAACTGCCAACTCTTAAAATAATGAGATTAGGATCCAATTAGTATTAAGTTGCAAAAACATAAAATGAAAAGACTAAAATGGAATGTATTTTCTGCACTCATCATTTACACAAGTGCCTCAATTATACGTTAAATATTCATATATCACATAAAATATATTTGACTATTATAATTTAAACAAAAAGACAAGGTGCTAATTATAAAAAGTATCTAACTTTAGAATTAAATTAATTTTGCTTGCCTTCTTAGAATTTTGAAAGTGTTTTCAGGAGAATGTTTTGAACGGTTTAGTTCTCTTTTAAATTGCCTCTCAACTCGCTTTCTCCTTTACACTTCCCGACATTGAGACATGTGTACTAGTCTGAGTCTACACTGTGTTCTAAAAAATACTTGTTTATGATGATGATGATGATGATGATGATGATGATGATGATAGTGATGGTGGTGGTATTACATTCCCTGAATCTGGTAAAGACATGAAGTGTTATGCAAATCACTCTCTCTGTATAGCACAATTTCAAATATCAAAAGGCATAACATTATCCAAAGAGTGAAAGCCATTCTAATTAAGAGGTAAAACTTGCCTCCCTGCCTTCCTTCGCAGGGCTGAATGTAGGCAAAAGTTAGCACTCACTTAGGATAGTAAGCAAGGTGATTTTGCCCTTTCTTCTTGTGAATATTTTTTCTTTTACTCTTTGGTCCTGCGATGCCCTAATAATAAGAATTGGGTTCAGGTAGATGGGTGGGGAGAAGACCCACAAGTTCTGAGTTGAGATATGGGCTGCAGTTCATCTTCTCAGAGAGAGCTCTACTTAAGACTACATCTATGAGCACAGCTGACAATGATTTTTTTTTTAAATCTTTTGTCAGATTTTTTAAGCATATGACTTTCTAAGAAATTGTCTGCAAACCTAGATTCCTGGCTCTCACAGACAACATCATCTCCTCCCTGCCCCCACCAACATCTTATATTAAATCCTACCAGAACCAAAAAAGAAAGTTTTCTGCTTTGCCCTCAGTTAACCTGAAAATTTAATTAAACGCCATCCTCCAAATACTACAGTTCATTGACGTTTAACTATGCACATTCTTGGAAAGGCCAACTGAGATGAAACTGACATTTTAAGAGCTGTATTTTGTACTGAAATAGAAAATGAAATAGAAACGTATTTTTGCTTGCTTGTTTTGATAGGATTTTACTGACAGGAAATTTGGAGAGACTGAAGGGACAACTATCAAGCTTTTAGTTTATTATCAGTGAGCATTTTCTCCAAACTATACCCTATCACTTCATTTACAAATGATGTTTAACAAAGTTCTATTTTCTGTGCTGGAATTTCATTGCTCTTACTCTTTTGTTTCCTTAGAAGGTCTTTGGCTATTTAAGGATTGCAGCCACTGAGATTAGTGTTGACTTCTGCATGGGAGGATTTTTCTTGACTTTATCCCAGAATTAATGAGTGCAAAAACCAGCTGTGCCGATAGACCTATTCTACTTGGTGACACATCCTTGCTAGGGCAATTGGCAGATGGTCTGTCTTGCAGGGGCTTGCAGTGGAATGGAGACCATGCAGTTGGGAGACTGGGTCTTAATTATTCGAAGCCAGGTTTCTCGATTTTTTTCCTAGTTTTGAACTTCCTGCCTCTTATTAGAGAGGCAGCCTCTTTCTGCCATTTTATATTTCTACTTAGTTGTACTCCTTTTTCAGGTACAACATTTTTATTCCTGACACCGAAAACTTTGCCCAGACTACTCTTGGGTGAGTATTTGGAGGTGCTATTCCAGAAGAAGTTTATAGCTCGATCCAATTGCCTGATAAAATTACAACCGAAAAACAGCAAAGTGAATAAAAGGAGACAAGAAGCACTAACTGAGTGACAAAGGCAATCTTGTCACCGTTGTGTATTTCAGACTGATGTTAGACTGGATGCAGAGCACATGCAGTTCTGAGTGCAGTCATTGATTTTTATTGCCATGCCTTGAAAGACATCACCTCTTGCATATCTTTCGTTCCCTAGGCCTAGGAATGTAAGAAACCTATGGACAATATATTGATGAGTGTGTAGAAATCTAGATATTAATATTTATGTGTTTGAAAATATTCTTGAAGAAAACAAAAGGAAGCATTCCTTTGCTTCCACGGGGGTGGGGGTGGGGGCAAAACAAAACAGTGTTTTCCCCCAAATGTCTATTGGAGGGTTAATGGCCCTAGGAACAGGTGTGGGCAGGTCTTTATATATTCAGACTTCAAAGCTCAGAATTTTATGTTTGAGTTGCCTGGAATCCTCTACTTAGACTTCGTTCATGGATATAAATTATCAACCATTCTTTTTTTTAGGCTACAGATAGTTTATTCATCTTTAAGAGAGAGGTGCTCATTGGGATCAGCAGTTGGTGTAATGGCTATGTCACGGGATTCCCATGTAGTCGGCTGAGGTTGGAGTCTCAGACCTGGTGGCTTAAACTCATGCCAGGTGCATGTGTGTGCATACCCAAAATCCTGAGAGGAGAAAGGAGGAGAAGGGATTGTGGTGTGGCCATCCCCTCTCAAGGGTGATTTCTCACTTTCTGTCTCTCTGTCTCTCTCTGTCTTTCTGGTAAGCGCACATGCCCTATAGGTTTTGCTATATCAAAAACCTCTCCAAAAAAAGAGAGAGGTGCTCATGTAGGAAGATAGTCCTTTGATGGTCTTAAGATAGAAAAGATATGATTCCTTAATCAAAAGACTCTAAGTAGTAGTCCATAAGCCCAAAATGCTGAGGCCACTTGGGAAGGTCTCTGGTTTGTGTCCGGAGGTCCCTCTGTACTTGTTGAGTGTACATGTACCAATTCCTGTGACCTGGCTGGCTGAGGCTATGGGTAGATTGTGGCATGAAGGTTCTGTTGAGAATGCCTGCCTTTTTCTCTCTTTCACTTCTGGAATAAATAGATAAACTAAAAAGGCTCCAAGAGATTGGCGATACCTTTATCACTGATTCTCGAAGAAATGTGCTTGGAACCCTGACACCATGAAGAAAATGCATACTTGTGGGTAAGGCAGCAAGCCTGAAGGAGGAGTGTCAGGGTCTTTATACCTCATGATCATTTAGGCCATGTTACACCGAGAGAACCTTCCAGCCCAATATTATGCAAAAATGTGAGAGTCTCTTCTTCTGTCATTTCCTTTTCATATGGAGATGCAGTTTTGTTTGAGTGACTTCCATGATAGGGAACTCAGTGTTTTACAATGTACATTATTTAGAGTTTCTATGATTGTGTGAATTGGTTCCCTCAAGCCTAAATCTGCCATCCCTTCCTTCTGTAACTTCCAATGTTTCTCTTCTGTTCTCTGGAGTGAAAAGGGCTTATTGAATATCTTTCTCTTGACAGAACTTTTGTGCTGTTAAGTCTTCTCTAAGTCTTTCTTTTGGGGGCTAAACATCTCTAAGGTGTTCACTGCTGTGTAGAACCTTCGTCATCTTGATCATACTCATCTGTGGAAGCTACATCTTGACAAGGTCTATATTAAAATGAATCATGAAGAGCTGATAGTGTTCAGATGAATAGAATAGTGATGTCCAGACTGAGGCTGGTAGGTTGTTCCAGACATAGTATAATGAGTGTAGAGCAGACAGCGCTAAGGAAGTTGTTTCTAGAATCTTCCTTTCTTCTGGGAACCAGCAGTTAGCATAATGGCTATGTCGCTGGACTCCCACGTAGTCGACCGCGGTTTGCGTCCCGGACCCGTTGACTTAAAACTCACGCCGGGTGTGTGTGTGTGCGTGCCCAAGATCCTGAGAGGAGAATGGAGGAGAAGGGACTGCGGCGTGACTATCCCCTCTTGGGGGGTGATTTCTCGCTTTCTAGCTCTATGTCTCTCTCTGGCAAGTGCACGTGCCCTATAGTGAAAACCTCTCAAAAAAAAAATGAAGGGCGCCTTAAGCAACACCTCAAAAAAAAAAAAAAAAAAAAAAAAAAAAAAAAAGAATCTTCCTTTCTTCTTATTTTTGGAATAAACATCTGCCTGTAAATAACCAAAGTGGCTCAGGCTCTCAGTCTGTGCCTAAGATTTGATATTTCTGCTTGGATATCCAAGAACCACATACAATCATATTTTACCAGAAATCTAAATCATGATCTCTCAACTGACATCCTCTTTGGTTCCTCTTCTTGACTTTGCTGTTTCTGAAAGTGAGACAACCCAAATCGACAACACATCTTTGACTCTCCATTCTCCTCCACTGCTCTTCCTTTTTTTTTATTCCTCCCCATTGGGGCTTCCAGCTCTTCCTGTATCAGTTCCTTTCCCAATTCCAATCCAGTCTTCAGCTGATTTAGAGGGGGTACAAAACATAGGGTGTGACTGTAACACTTTAATAATCAGACCTTCTTAGGAGGCCATGCCAAGGAGAGAGCTGCTACAAAACAATGTCTCTTCGGCAATGCTAAGCTGCATTTCCTTAACACACATGACCAAGAAGGAAGAAATGCACGTGGCAAGAAGAAAATGATGAATGAAGCTCTCCATCTTCTTAAGAGGCCTCAGGTTGAACGGGTGGAGAAAAGGAGCACATTCTTAGAGTGAGTGATCAACACAAATAGTTAACACAGGTTCCTCTGGTCATGTCTACACCCGAAGGAGTGGGACAGAAATTCTGATTGAGAACTTTGATTTCCCCCAGATCGTTTGAGTCTTAAATGAAATTTGGAAATGTGCCCTGACATCAAAGCCTGTTCCTTTTGGCTAATCGATTGAGTATGTTGCGCCTGTCCTCCCTTGAGCCCCCATGACCAGGAACATATGTCAGATTCTCCCTTCGCCAGTAATTTGGAGGCTCATGACAATAAAACATCCTCTTCTAAGGAAAAGAAGGGGTGGTCCTCGGGAATGTTAATGTAGCAGAGAACAGCAACAGTCGACTCCTCCCTGAAAAAATATACAAAGTCTGGTCAATCCATATCTGAATATCATCTGCATAATTTGAAAATAAAACATTGAAAGCAGTTAGCCCAATCTCACTATCCTGTGCACATTTACATCTGGAACAGCTGCCAAGGCCTCTCCGAGTTGATTTTGTTCAGTTCTGCAGGGCCGATTTGAAACCCAGGCAGAAAATGAAAGTGAGCAAATTTACCTCTGGCATTCAAAGAAATGCTTTTGGTCAAAGTGAGTATTTCTGACCATGACTCATTTTCAAAAGAAGCATTGAATTCGCTTTGTCATCTTTGCCTGGATCAGGCTCAATCGGCCCTTTCATGATTTTTAAAATATCCTATATAGCCGGCATGGCATTTATTAGGCTTCAGCTATTCAATATTGCATTTCAATGTATAAAAGTCACTGTTCAATTGAATATTGAGTTTTCTAAGGAAGTAAACCTACAGAAAAGAAATTTGCAAGAATCTAAAATAAATGAGTTTGAGGAAGATCAAACTGCCCTTTTGGCTGTTTCAAAGATCAAAAGATCTCTCTTTTATAAAAATCAGGAGCAGTTTGAATAGCCTCTTTCCTCCACCGTAAAACCCCATTTTTTTCACCATCATTGATAGCTTGGGACTACACCATAATGGTATGAAAGGCCCTGGGGAGGAGAGAAGACAGTTTCATTCCTGAAAAGCACCCAGGATTTTTGCGTCTGAATTAGCTGGCTTTTAATTTAATTTAGTCTGGAGCCCAGTAGAAAGAATAAATGAAAACCTGCCTTCATGTCCTTGAGGAGGAGTGGTGGCTTGGAAAGGCAGGTTAGGGTCTCTTGAAAATTTTTGCTGTATTTATTTATGTTTATTTTTAGTCATCACACAATGATTGTACCTATTTATGGGCATAAGACAATGTGTTGAAAGATGTGTACGTCATATAACAACCAAGTCAGGACAATGAGCATATGTATCACCTCGAACATTTATTCTCTTTATAGTGAGAACATTGAACATCTCTTCTAGTTACATGGCATATGCAATGAATAATTGTTAGTTAGGTGTCTCCTGCTGTGCAATAGGACATCAGGTCTTCATCCTCCTGTCTAACTGTGACTTTGTCCCCACTGACCAACCTTGTCCTAGCCTCCTCCCCCCAACTTCTGTCCTCAGATTCTGGAAACCTCCATTCTCTTCTCTGTTTCTATGAGATCAACTTTTTAAAATTCCATGCATGAGTAAGATCATGAGGTACCTGTACTTCTGTGTCTGGCTTATTTCATGTAGCATAATCTCTTCCAGGTCCATTCATGTTGTTGCCAATAATGGGATTTTCTTTCTTTTTTTTTTTTTTTTAATGGCTGAATTTGCATTTAAAAACAATCCATTTTCAGCTGATGGACATCCAAGTGGTTCTATATCTCGGCTATTGTGACCAATGCTACAATGAGCACGGAAGGTGCAAACACCTTCCACGTATTGATTTCATTTCCTCTGGATAGATACCCAGTAGTGGGGTTGCCAGCAAGCTGTTATCAACAACAATATGGAGGTTCCTAAAATAATTAAAAATAGAACTACCATAGGATTCACTGACAATTGTTTTGTAATACTTTTATTATTTTTACAGTTTTAAAATTTACATTTAATCACTGTACATTTTTTATTTACCCTCCCCAGAGTTTTGTCATAGGGCACGTGGGCTCACCCAAGAGGGAAAGTGAGAAATCACCCCCAGTGGGGATGACCATGCTGTATTCCTCTCTCCTTTCAGGATTTTGGGTACATCCACACATGCACCTGGTGTGATTTTCATGCTGCCACGTCCAGGACTCAAACCATGGTTGGTCATGTGGGATTGTGGAGCCTTAACCAGCCACCTGATGGCCCCAATCACTGTACATTTTTACACTGTAAAAAATTGTTTTTCCCAGTGTGAATCCAGTGCATATCAACCAAGTCAAAGATTGATTTTAGAGGATGCCATGTATCTTTGTTTCCACTTCTAGATAAGGTTGGACTGTATATAAGAACATTGTCTTTAGGTTCACTTTCCCCTAGGTTCTGCATAACCTTTGGAAGTTACCTAATCTTTCCAGGCACAACAAACTTTTGCCTCCTGTCTAGGGAAACAGTCTCCAACAGTATCATAGACCATTTATGGTTGGATATCCACCACTAACAACTGTTTGGTTAAACCAATTAACCATAAGAAGTTACTTTATTAATTTTTGAGTCTTCATTGTGAATTAGTTTATCAAATCATTTCATTGGAGAAGATGGAGGGCCAAGTATTAAGGCACTTGGCATATGGGAAGAAAGTATTTCTGTTAGAGTTTAATTATAGATAACAGAATCAAGTCTAGCTACACACAGGAGACACAGATTTTGTACAAGGAATAAGAGGCTCATAAAAATCACTGGAAAGACTGGAGGAGTAGGTTTCAGGCAGAACTTTCAGGAATGACACCTCAGTATCACACCTTAAGATTAGCCCACTAAGGCTCTTTGTCCATGATCAAGTTGGTGAATAAGAGGTCACCTTTATAACTGCGGGCTTGTGAACCTCACCACATCTATCCCTACCTGCATCAACAGAATAGGTGCCCTTGACGTGCCTTTTGATAGCCACAGGGTTAGGATGTGGATCCTAGGTTTCTTGTTATAGCTCCCCCATATCTCTGAAGTGCACTGGTTAGCAGCAGGGGTGTCTACTTCTACTTTTTAAATTTCCAGAAGAAGTGTCTGCCTGACTGAAGTGAAGTTTCACATGGAAGCTAAATTGCAGGAAAATTCTGAGAAATAAGACCTTCAGCTTTCCCACCTATGGAGGGCCAGGCAGTAGCTCTGAGAGAACCAGTCTCCAGATTCTAACACAGAGACTATGTGGTAGAAGTGCCAAAGAAGAGTTTTGAGAGAGAACGTAATGGAGAAGGGGCTGAAAACAGCCTTGACCAACGTCACAACTTTGCCTGGAGTTGGTCCTAGTTATTAACATAAGGCATTTTAGGAATGTCATATCAGGGAGACTTTACTCTCTTCTTTGAGTAGGTGGTTTCAAGATCTGCATGTCAACTTTCTTGAGTAAATAGCCTCCTTCTCCTATGACCCTGACATTTATGGTGGGGGGATTTCAGTTTCTTCCTTAACAGAAAAGGAAATGTGTTCCTATATGCTGTATGGACTCGTCTACAATTGGGTGGTCTTTCTTTGGGCTAATATCCATTCAGCTTAGAAAATGCTCTCATGACGATAGGTGAAAAGAGAAGCTTTAGGTATCCAAGCCTCTGTGGCATTTTTGCCTATCAGGTAAGTCACTGTTTCCCTGAAGAGTAGACCTGAACGAGGGCCTGAGGTCACTCATGTTGGATTGATCATGAAAGCCTCTCCAGGTGTCAGAAGCAGGCAGCCAATAGTGCTATCCTGCCATCTTCTTTTTAACATTCAATCCGGCAAACACCTTAAGCTTTAATAAACATCTTCTCCTTTAATAGTGTTGACTCCAAGCTAATAAGGCAACTAGCAAATCCAGTGAAGGTAAATTTCTCATTAACAATTTATTTAACTTTGTTGAAGAGAGCAATTTTCAACCACTGCTAATTGAGTTTGTAACAAAAACATGGATTCGCTTTGCTACCACCCTCAGGACCTTAATCAAACTCCGAGAAAGGTAAAGTAACTATTATTAGCAGACTGAGAGGTAAAATTCAGGATAGAATGGGAGGTACAAGCACACTGTTACAGTCCTGAAACTTCAACAGGATGAGAAGGCAGAAGCACATACTGGCATTTCACAGTGTTTTGAATTTTATTTGCCAGAGGAAGAGCCCTTTTGACATAAAGCTAAAGCTGCGTGTAAGACTTTGAAGATGTGGGCTTTGCTATGTGGGTGATGTGTTCAATTCCCTCCCCTCTCCCCTCTTTATTTCAGATCTCTCTATGGAAGGTGGAAGAGTGTGTTAGGTAGGGAGGCCTGTAAGAGGACTTGCCCTTTTCAGCTGATCCAAAGCTGTTCTCTCTGGCTTCGGGAGGTGGCTATAATTTAGGAGTTTCGTAACGAAGGGTTGAGCAGGACTGCCTAAAGTGACAGCCCTGTGGGCAGAGGGACATGCAGCGTGTCTCTGCTAGGCCAGTGATTGAATTTGAAGGGATTTAATAATTCTTCTTGAAATTCTCTGCTTTTCCTTCAGACTTTCCTCTGGAAGCCTGATTAAATGCGTATTATTTCTTCTTAAGTGATTTTACAGGTCGTTTATTTTGGATTTATGAGCATCAACACGTTTTAAAAGGTATTAGTGGGCTGTGCTGCTGGATCCTTGTTCTCTAAATCATTAACTCTACTCTTGATCAGCATCAGATAGTAAGAAATCTTCTAAATATTCCTTTGTTTTTTTCTTCTCATGTATTCATTCAGGAGGCAAATATTTTTAAAACATCTACAGCATGCCGGATACTGTGCTACTCTAGCAATACTCCAGTGGGCAAGGAAGACATGGTCCTTGCCCTCAGTTCATGGTGTAAATAAAAAAGAAGTGTGTGTTAATGCCTACAGTGTTGTGAAGTTATGGGGAATGAATTTGAGCTTGAATAAATCTTCCTTTTCCATTATACTCCGCCCATGAATCAAGGTCTATATGGAGAGACATGAGCAGGATGTGGTTCTTCTGTGTTTTTGACACAAGCTGGTGGGTGGTACTAGTTAAAGATGGAAAGAGGGCCAGCTGGTGGTGTGGTGGTTAAGGTGGTGGATCCCATACGGTCAACTGTGTGGTTCAAGTCCCAGATTTGGAGGCTTAGAAAACATACCAGGGAACCAGCAGTTAGCGTAATGGCTATGTCGCTGGATTCCCACGTAGTCGACCATGGTTCGCGTCTCGGACCTGGTGGCTTAAAACTCACACCGGGCGTGTGTGTGTGCGTGCCCAAGATCCTGAGAGGAGAATGGAGAAGGGATTTCAGCGTGACCATCCCCCCTGGGGGGTGATTTCTCGCTTTCTGTCTCTATGTCTC